GAAGGTAGTGTGATAGATATGAGATCTGGATGAGGAAGAAGGAAGAGGAACCGCCATGGCTGCAGGGTTTGAGAAGCTTTTGGGACGATGAGAGAAGACGATAGAAGCAAACGCAGCCACGGAACGGAACCACACTGAGAAACAGAGACCAAAGGGATCTCTTTTATTATGATGCTTCTTCCATGGCGGAGAGAGAGAGAGGAGGGCGGCTTGTGGCATCAGATGGGGCCCATGTAAAGTAATGACGTGGCAATTGATAGTGGAATCTTGTGGAGACGGTCACATGTGGGTGAGGAATCATGTGCAATGCGAAATAGGACAAAAACAAAAATTTCTTTTGTTTGTATAGTTTATTATGAAAATGTACACTAATCTTGAATAAAAAAAATCAGTGTCAAGAATACGCCTAAAACGTCTAATCATAATCAAAATGTATAATTTCTAAAACACTTTTACATGTCCATTTTTTTAATGTTTTTTGCAATTAAATTTTAATTATGAAATTAAAAAAACTAATATTGAATATCCGAGTTTAACCAAAATATTCGACTAAAAGTATAAACTAATATTTTGATAAAGAATTTTATGCAAATCCACCACAGATAAATATTCAAACCGAACTAACATTAGTAATCAGATTCGAAATGGATAGTTCGTTGAATAATCTTTCACTAAATAGTTCATGCATAAAATTTTCATACGATAAAACAGAATGTATACTATAGTAAATTTACGCATTTAGTAAATGGATTCAATATGTTAACGTAGAACTATAATTCCTTTTTTCCACGTTAAAAATTTATGAATCGAAGATGATGACCAATACAACACAAGTTACATAAGTCATATTGTGTGGAGAAACAAACAAAAATTCAATATCGTTAATGTTGAACTATAATTCTTTTTTTCCACGTTAAGAATTTATGAATCGAACATGATGACCAATACAACACAAATTACACAAGCCATATTGTGTGGAAAAACAAACAAAAATTCAATATCGTTAATGTGGAACTATAATTCCTTTTTTCCACGTTAAGAATTTATGAATCGAAGATGATGACCAATACAACACAAGTTACACAAGCCATATTGTGTGAANAAACAAACAAAAATTCAATATCGTTAATGTGGAACTATAATTCNTTTTTTCCACGTTAAGAATTTAAGAATCGAAAATGATGACCAATACAACACAAGTTACACAAGCCATATTGCATGAAAAAACAAACAAAAATTCAATATTGTTAATGTGAAACTATAATTCTTTTTTTTCACGTTAAGAATTTATGAATCGAAAATGATGATCAATACAACACAAGTTACACAAACCATATTGTGGGGAGAAACAAACAAAAATTCATTGTGTGGCTGCTATCGAATTTCTTCACTCACTAAGCATCAAAATCATCTCTATATTTAACAAATAATATCGTCATTTTTAATTAAAAAATTGTCTAGTGAACCGTGAATCGTGATGCATTTTTGCTTTTTTACTTATAAAGCAAAAACGGGATCCACCATATAACGAAGATTCTTTCTAGCATCCAACCACTATCTATCATCCCACGTGATCGACGCACGTGACACCCTCGGTCTTATATGGTGTGATGATTCATTAAAACTTTCAATTTTTAAATTATTAACACAAACCTGAAGTGATTAGTTATATAAATAGTTCATGTGATGTACTTAGTCTCTGTCTAGGTGGATTAAGTAAAGGAGGAAATTAGGTTGAGACGCATACGTCAAAAGTCTTAGCTGTCCATTTTAGTAAAGTTTTAAGAACTTTAGCATATAATCTCAAGAAGTTAAAATTATGTCTCAAGAAGTCAGAGACAAAAATATATATATCAAAACTTGTTTAGCCGATGAAAAGGAATCCTACTTATAGAATTAGTTTTTTTGTTGTGTACTTTTAGCTCTGAAAATATAGATTTCTATTAGTTTTAGTAACATTTTGTTTTATAGATTTTTACGTATGTATAAATGTTTCTAAACTCATGTTCATGGAGGTCAAAATTTTAATCCAAGAAAATACGTTAAAGACCGAAAACTACTTGAAAATCTGTCTTTCGCATATGTAATTTTGAGTGACAAAATATTGTAAACAAATTATTTGATTTTTGGTTGGATACAAAATAGGCAAATACTAGTATAATCAACTTACGCCAACACGGCAACACGGCAACACGTAACCATTTCGTTAATTAAACAATCCGAGTCCATATGTTTGTAAATTATTGTCCAACTTTTGAAGAATATATATAAATTGCACGACTTTAATTATTGCATATCTAGTCATGCACAATAACATTCGTTAAAAGCTAAACTAAAAGTCCATATAATTGTCCATGAACATGTCTGTTGTTGATACGACAAATCTATTTCAAATATCCAAATTTTAATCAAAGTTCCG